CCCTGCTGGCCACTCACCTTCACTCTATCCCACAACCACCCGTTTGGCCCAGTCCTCCACACGTGGCTTGCTTCAACTTTCTTGGTGATTTACGTGCGCAGGAGTTATTACTCTCATCGCTGTTTTTCGAACCGACAGGAGAACCGTTTCACCAAGCTTGACTCTCGTTGGCAGCTCACGTGGTGCGACGCCACAATGGCGACAAAGAAAGCCCGCCAGAGGATCAGCTATGGTAAGCAGCTTGCGCAGGCCTCCAATCCGACGTCGCGTGCGGAATTTGGTGGCACATGCCCAGCGTGCAGCCAAATGGATATCTCCATGCTCGAGATGATGGCACCAATGGTAGCTGACCTTACTTGCAGTCATTGAAAACCCTCGGGCTTCAGCGGGCGGCCATCGACTAGGCGTGTGGTGTGTCGCTGCTGATCCGACCAACAACATTCTGTAAGCACTATCCACCGGAACACGAGAAATGGCATTCGCTGAACTCGCGCAGGTACTCTGGAGGCAAGGATGGAGTGATCTGCGCCTGGGACATCAATCTCGACCAAAGCGACAATCGCACGACCGACCAGTCTGCTGCGGCCTCCGCCAAGGCGACGACCAAATTCCGCGCGGAGGTTCAAGCCCACCACAACACCGTCCGCGATCTTGTCCTTGCGCAGAACAGTACGGCTGTCGTAACAGCCTCTACAGATTTGACGGTCAAGGTCTGGCGACCGCACTCCGAAGCGCATGCGGAACCTCTCGAGATTGGGCGGCATGCCGATTATGCCAACCGCTTGGCAGTGCCGCCCGGCGACATGGGCCTCAATTGGGTAGCTTCTGGAGGTCTCGATCGGAAGGTGTGTCTCTGGGATCTCAATGGTGGTGGCAAGACCCTTGAGATTGAGACGCAGGGCGAGGACAAGCCTGAAAAGGGCTCCGTATACGCACTGAGTGCCGGGCGCAACATCATTGCGGTCGGCAGTCCCGAAAAGACAGTGCGCTTGTACGACTCTCGATCGGGTACCAGATTCTCCAAGATGGTTGGCCACACTGACAACATTCGCTCCATCCTCATTGGCGATTCAGGAGAGCTCATCCTGAGTGCCAGTGCGGACAAGACCATCAAGATGTGGAGTACCAGAGCTGGTCGCTGCCTGTACACCTTCACCATGCACGATGCCCCTGTTTGGGCGCTACGATCTGATCACCCGGAGCTTCGCGTCTTCCACAGCGCTGACCGCGACGGTCTTATTGCCAAGACTGACGTGCGTGGCAAGGTTGAGGACATGGACAATGGTCTAAGTTTGGCTGTGGCACAGGAGCACAACAAGGTATGGGGGATGACCGCTGCTGGCGGGCACATATGGACGGCAACAATGCAGTCCTCCATCAATCGCTGGGCTGATATCGATGTGGACGACTATTCTTGCCTGAGAGAAAGCATGAAGCGCCACAGGGGGGCTTCAGTCGCGTCTCGAGGACCAAGGCCAATGTCGATTTCTGCAGTGGATGGCTCGGAACAGAAGAAGGTACCACCAAAGTCGATTCTCCAGCTCTCGAATACGGCCCCTGTCCCCTTCCGACCTGCGAGTGTCTCCGTACCGGCAGCCGTGGTTGCCAAAGGGGTGGACACAGAGTCTCCGGCTGCTGCTTCCACTACCGGAACGCAATTATCCGAGCTATCGCTAGATGAGCCGTCCGTGAAACCTATACACCAGAACCCCACGGAGACCATTGAAGGCCAATTCGGGCTGCTTAAGCACCAGCTTCTCAACGATAGACGGCGGGTACTGACAGTGGATACTGCGGGCGAGGTAGTCATGTGGGATCTCATACAGTGTCGACAGGTGGAGAGCTTTGGTAAGATGCATCTGGACGAGGTCGCTGAGATGAGGAACACACCCGAGGCCGTGGCTCCATGGTGTCACATTGACCTTGCCTCTGGCAATCTCACTGTCGTTTTGGAGCAGTACAACTGCTTCGATGCCGAGGTGTACGCCGATCAGTTGAAGCTCGAAGAGACAGTGGAGTTTAGAGAGGACCAGAGGATCTCGCTCGGTCGATGGATCCTGCGCTACCTGTTTGCAAACCTCATCGATGAGGAGCTGAAGCGTGACGAGGTGTACCGAGCAGCACTGAATGAGAACGTGGAGAAGCGGCAGTTGGCAAATCGCGCCAACGCGCCTACATCTATCCCTCTCCCTCCGCCGAGTATGGCTGGCTGGGAGACGCCGGATCAGATGACAACGCCCAGAGCGAACGGGCTGCACATGCCCAGCACGACCCCGGGAATGGCAATCCACCAGGCTACTCCAGGCCCTGGGCTTATGGGCGTATCTGAAAATGCCGTAGCGACGCCGCTCAGCCCTCTAGAGAAGCGGCAGTCACACACCGGCCGCCCATCAGGCGATCATGATTACTTCACCAGCACGATTGGGCCAGCTGATACCGCGGCAAAGGCCCCAGCCACGCCTTCCACGCCAGCCGCCGAGACCGCGGACGCCGACAAAACCAAGGACAAGGCTCAGGACACTGCCAAGTCACCCACGAGTGCGTTTGGCAAAAAGTTCCGCATGTCCTTTGGAACCAAGAAGATGGGGCGCTCGGCATCGCAAACCGCCACCGAGAAGCCAGCCATTCCAGAAGAAAAGGCGGAAGAGTCCGAAGCCTCGTCAACCCATGAGAAAGAAGTCGAGGACAACTTTCTTGGCGTCATACAGAAGATGCGGAACGACTACGACAGACAGCTCATCGAGAAGCCTGACCAGTTGGTCGAGACGCGCATGTCACCAAGCTTGCCCAACGAGACGCCCGTGCTCAAACTCCCGCCCAATACTAAGATCTTCGTCCAAGAGGAGACTTCCGGCAGCGTTGCCAACGTCTACGAAGGCACCATCGCAGGCGTCGGTGCCGATGCCGACGTGATAGAGCACAAGGCCCCCATGTGGCTTGGCCATGTCCTCCTTCAGAACCAGATCACGTCCAAGGAACCGGTCAAGATCTCCTTTGTGCTTCACCCTCTGGACGACTTGCCGCCAGTCGCCTCAGCGGATGGCAACAACAGGCTCAACGCTAACCGCATGCTGCGGGTTAAGAAGATCATTGGCTATGTCGTGGAGCGGATTGAGCAACCACCGGAGGAACCGGAGGGGAACCCGCTGAAGCCGGAGGAGTACATGGAGCTCTACTGCAACGGCCAGGTACGTTTGCTGACTTTTTTTTGTTTCCTATGAATGAGTCCACATGCTAACATTTCCCCAGTTGCTGGATCCACTGATGAGCCTGGCAACGCTGCGCACTCACGTCTGGAAAAGCGGAAACGATATTGTCCTTCAGTACAAGGCGAATGGCCGCAAGGAGATCCGATTTGCGCCGCCGCCAGAGGAGCCCGCTCCCGAGCCTGAAGCCGGCCAGGATGGCGGGATCACAGGGGAGGCGCAGCCGACAGCGCCACCTGCGGCTCCAGCGCAAGCGACATGATCCCAGGCTGAAGCCGTATTATATACCATCTATCTTGTATATACGCACACCAGCGCCCCCGTTTCTATAGCGTTTCCATTTTTCCCCCATTCTCTATGCGTACAAACTCAACCATTGATCGTACACAAGCACTGCCGCAACAATGTCCTCGCCCTTTCATAACGCTGCGCCCAGGGTGTTAACAGCCCACTGATAGCTCCCCAGGAAGATGAACCCGCCTATTGATATCCACATCGTCCTAGGCGCGAGTCCCGCAAAGAATGGCCTGAGGCCCTCCTTTCTCGCGATATCACGAAATGTGCTCCCGACCGACACTCTCTTCTCGGCCAGCATGACCCTCGTCTTGAGCACGTCGAGCGGTGTCGTCAAGCCGGCCGCAATCGCACCCGCCAGGCTTCCAAACACGGCACTCTCGAGCGCAGGCACATCTCCCTTGGTGTCGCCTCGCCTCCTTCGCCCCCAGGACTTGAGCGCCTCCCATATCGGGAACTGGATGACGGTGAACGGGACCTCGCGAAAGACTGTAATGCCCCATCCGCGATAGAGCTCCCTCCACATCCTCACAAAGCCCTCAGACTGCCGCAGGCTTAGAATCGCCCGGAAGGCATCCCCGCTCCGGCCCCCGTGCAGTCCCGCCTGCGCCCTCTGCTTGACCACCTCTGTCGGCACGCGCACGGCGCACGCGGCGACCTCGCCGCAACTCGCCGCCAGCATGTGTCCGACGGCCGTGTCCTTGCCGTACAGCGACTTGACGCTCTCGTACGTGCAGAAGAAGAAGGCCGCGCCGGGCGCGGAGCCGACGAGCGCAGAGCCGATGCCGCGGTATATGCCGCCGAAACCGCCCGAGGGGAAGAAACCGGCGGAGGACTGGAGGCGTGTCTTGAGGGTGTCGAGGGGGAAGAGGGAGAGGTCGACAGTTGTGCCAGCCAAGGCGCCGGCGAGTAGTGCCGTTTGGAAGGGGGGGTTCTTTGGGTCCATGGCCCGATGTCTCGGCGTCGCGATGGCTAGGTTGAGGAATTGATTGAGCAAGAGGACGGCCGCGGGCCGGGCTGGGCAGGTACGTGAGGTGGGTGGTCGCGTGTGATATTAGTCAAGTGGTGATGGTGATGATGGGGACTTTTGAGACGCGCCCAGTTTAATCGATAAGGCTGCTTGTCGTCAGGGTCCGGCTACGATGACTGGAGTCTGGAGCTACCCTATGCTCGGCAGCGATCGGCGACCGAGCGGCAAACATGCAAGACGCGGGATGAGATCACCTTCAATTCCTGATTCATATACTCATTTGAATGCTTTGCTGAATAGTACAAGTCAATGGACGATTGGTTTGTGGATGCGCAAATGGCTGACAGCTAGTGATGCCATTGACGTAAATGAACACTGCTCAATCTACAGACAGGGCTCACACTCGTTATGTGAGCATAGCCACCAGATCCATAGGCCAGTACCAAAAATAACGACCATGCTGATTGACTTAAGGTATTACCCCCAACACCTAATGACCCGGATTTGTTCGTGCTGCATTGTGATGGCCCTTACATGGTGTCCCTGACACTGGTGCCCGCCTTGGTCGACTCCTCAGCCGCGCGTTTTGTCCTCTCCTGCAGCTTGGCCGTCTCCTCAGGTCCACTGCCGCTGCGGTCTGCCTTGACTGCCTCCTCGCTGTCGGAGGCGAGCTCGGGCTTCCAGTGGCCCTTGCCCTGCTTCTGCTTCTCGAGCGAGTCGGACTTGTGCTTGGTGTAGTCGATGTTCTCACCTGCGATTAATCCATTTAGTTAAATGTCCCTGAGGTCATGACGAGAGAGGGAGTACCCGGGGGGTTCCGTTACGTACTGTCAGATGACTCCTTGAGGCCAAGACGGCTGGTAGACGTGAAGGCCATGCCGCGCGAAGAGGCAGGGGTCATGACAGCGCGCGAGACGCGCAGTGCGATGATGCTTCTGGGGAACATGATGTTTTGAAGGGTCAATTGACTTTTTGAGAGGACGATGGAGGGTTTTTCTTGTGAGTGTAACAGAGAGGATTGATTATTGTTCTGGTTTGCGTTGCCTGTTATGACCATCGGCATCCGTACAGGCAAGGTAATACCTTAGCCGACGAGTACCGTTAATTCTGACGTCACCATTGGTCATGGCTCGTGTTTTGCTCCGTCTCCCTCCATGCTTCGTGCGCACCTGTGAAGAACGGCCCATTTGCAAGCTCACGGCGTCTAGTCTCTACTAGCACGTATGTACTATGTGTTAGGTAGTGAAGTGGGGAGAACGGGGTGCGAGATGCGTAGAGCCGTTCGAACGCAGGGAACCTATCTGCCGTTTGGCACACCCTTTCCGTGCGCAGGTACGAATTCCTGGTCGCCAAGCAAGGCCGAGACATCATCACCAAGGCGGGGGGAGCAGGCTAAGGTACTAGCAGTTACACTCAAAGTTCAAACATCGTGTATTCTCGTCTGGAAGATCATCTGCCACATGGCAATGTACAAAGCGCTCTGACGAAAAAGTCAACAACACCATGGGGCACGAAAGACCCCAATCGCTATACCCAATGCAACCATGCCACGACTAGCTCGTGTCGTCCCAAGTCAACAACCCCACCCAGATAATAGCATTCCCAGACGAGGCACCCAAAGCATCATGAGCCGGCTCGATCAAAGCTCGACCAACAAACAGACAGGCCCCAAGACCCCCATATGCCCAAAGCCCATAAAACCAAAGCGTGATACAGAGAAGTGAAAGACCGCAGGCGCATAGATAAATGTACCGGCAGCTCCTCAATCCAGTGCCAGAGAGCGAGTGGCATGTGCTCCTTCTCCAAAAATTCGACAAACTCCTCTGTGTTTCGACCCAAGGAAAATGAGATCCAGTTCCGGCTCCGAAGATGCGCATACAAAAACCGTCAACCCGCTCGTGTTTAACCAACACCTGCTTGCCAAAAGCCCAGTACCCAGATGTATAAAACCTGACAAACGCAAAGTAGCCCGCTCGCCAGTCGAAAAAAGTACACCTCCCCTCCTCTAAGTGTTTTCTTTTCTCTTTGATGATTCGTAAATCCGTATCGTGATCGCGACATGAACAAAAAGCATGTTTTCTTGTTTTCCGCCAACGGTCCAGAGGCGCCGCCCAGCCCCCTGCAGCACCGATGCAATGCGTAGCCTGAAATGCAAAACTGAGAATCGCCAAAGGCAAACGCCCCATACGATCGTACAACCTCTCCTCGGGAGGCGAAGCACCGACCATTGAATATAAAAGACAAAAACGTGAGATGGTATCGAATCTTCCAAGCCGCGCCCAAAGGGAATCCACGATAATATCGATTAAGGATGTTTGTACAGTCAAATTGCCTAGCAGACGCAACCTGTGCGAGTGTGATGCTTGACGTGGCCCAGCCCAGCCAGGCCGAAAGATCGATGCCATGAAATGTAGATGTCTGTGTCGAGATGCTCGCCGAGGAGACGACAGCCGATGATGAAAGCAAATTCACACCTCTTTCAGTTGCGCAAAGCCATCAGGGCGATAACAAGACGGCACCGCTACGCGACGTGTCTACCACCGGGCCCTGGCAGACTGCTGCATCTTGGCGGGCGACACAGACGAAGGTGGGCTGGACATGGAGATGCCAGTGGCTGGGTTGATGATTGGGATCGCGTTGCGGCCACGTGTCGCGGCGGGCTGGTGCAGCTTCATGTTGGGCTGGTGGTTGTGGAATGCGGTGCTCGGGGGCACAAAGGGGGGAGAGGAGGTGTTAAGAGAGAATCCTGGAGCGACGGCTTGGGGTTGCTGAGTCGGCGACGACTGCGGCGAATTGCTTGCGAGCGAGGATCGCTCAGATGCACTGGAGATGGAGACCAACTGAGGGAGGAGCATGTCAGTCAATGAAGACCTTGAGTACGGTGAACCTGGCGAAGTCCTGCCAGAACTCGGGCGACTCACGTCATTCTCAGTCAGTAGACCGGGGCAAAACTCGAGGTCGTCTTCGAGCTCGAAAGAGCTGGCCGCCTCGAATTTTGTACGGAATGCAGACATGGACGCGGATTCGTTGAGCTCCTTCATGCTGCGGACGCCTCGGAATTGGCGCTGCGAGTTTTGCGACACAGACAGACGGGGAGCTCTACGGTTGCGACCGCCGTGGCTGTGGTGGATTGCGGGTGTGGGGTGCGTCGAGTGTGCATTGAAGTTGTAGTATCCTGACATGATTGCGGTCCGTTGTTGATGATGGTCGGTGGTGTAGTAGGTTTAGGCGGGGTGGCGGTGACCTTTCGGCGTTTGGAGGGTTTCAAACGCGCTGTAATTGTGAGGGATTAAGCAATGATGTTGTCGCAGGGATGGGTGAAAGGGGAGAAGCAACGTATACGAGGTATTGTCGTTTTGGTTTGATTATTTTTCGTCGTCGTCGGCAGTGAGAATAGCTGATGCTGTTATCGTTTGTTGTTGTTGTTGTTGTTGTTGTCGGTGGTGGTGGTGGTGGTGGTGTAGGCGAGGAAAAGTGATGAGTCGTGCGTTGGGGTGGGATGCTGGATGGCGTGGTGCAGAGGCAGAAGAAGGAGGAGTCGAAGAGGACATGAATAATTGTCGGGGGATGACGGCCTGTGGCTTTTGTTGGATACAATCCCGCTGAAAGCAGCTTCGCGCGCAGTGGCCAATGAATTGGGTCAACGTGTGGATACGCGCCCCTCGCCACCAGTTTCTGATTGGACAGGGGCATGCACTATGGGATCGAAAACGGACTAGCCCACTACTTTGAGGCGCTCAGGCATGTCCGGTGCGATGCGGGACAGTGTCAATGAGCGCAAGCAGACACAGTAACCGCGGGTGGCCAAACCCAAGCTTTCAATATATACCGCCTTTGACCACTATAAACGACCATTCCAATGTGGATTTAATACTTGGTAAGTCTTTGAACAGACTGTGGCGACTGAGGAGACTTTTGTGTGCGGACATTCACTCTGGCAAGATAGGGGGTTGGACCAAGGTGCACCAGCCTCTCGCCCTTCTGGATGACTGAAGCTTCATGTGCATGGTGGCTGGTCCCGAGCAGGGCGGCACCGCCGAAGTATTATTGCCTTAACTGTAGCTTGCTGATAATCGCCTGCACAGCGTGTTTGTCGCCCAGCGCTAGGGATTCACGGGGCCAGCAGCCACAACGTGCGGCCACCAAGGATGACGCACAGAGCAGACATGGGACATCATTGATAGCAGATTGGACTCCATTCCAACTGCGTTGTTACTGGACCGCACGCGTTCGATACAGCACCCTTTGCATTCTTACTCGAGACATTCAGCGACGGCAATGGATATCGACATGTTTGAGAAAGTCCATGGCGCTATGAACGTGTCAGGTTGTTATTATCGTTTGTGAAACCTCTAAGAAACCTATCTACAATCCTACAGCTTGTGGTGCAAGTGGTGCACCGTCTTGGGCCAGCAGAGCTGTAGGGTAACGCAACCAGGCCCTTGAGGTCGCATCGAGGGCCCCATGTTGTCGTACGGAATACCCCGTACAGTGAGCGGCTACACAGCGCCACTGGCTTCGGCGGCTGGCATTTGGCGGTCAGGGGTGTTTTACCCAAGGTGTACGTACCGCTGTTGAACACGTCGCACTGTGGAGGTGGTGCGGGCAAACGTGACCATTCACGGTGGTCTACCATGAACGTTCGTCAATGCGCGCTGGTTGATGTGTGTGGGGATGCGTCAGGATAGCAAAGAGGGTTGCATCTTTGGGCGTTGGACCTAGTCTATGTCTGCAAGAGATGAGGGGGTTGCGCCCTCCCCTTGGCTTGATGAGGGCGCTCGCGATGCAGCGAGTGGCCTCTGGACCTGTAGGTCTCTGTTGTTTGACTCAGAAGTCTAGAGGGCCCTTCAAGGTTCATGCCCCTCCCAACCGCAGGGATGGAAGTGATTTGTTGCATCACGAGACCCAGCCTCTGTGCTGCTAGCCTTGCTAGGCGGACTATCGAAATCGTAGGAGGATTTAGGCATTTCGACCAGAACCCCTCAATATCCATTGCAAATTAGACCTGACTTGCGACAGGAATTCTCGCCGGATGCTGCATGGCTGAATTCTGCGAGCATCAGTCGCTTCAGAACCTCATGTTTATCAATTGTCTGTACAAAGAACGGGACAGTGACTTGGCAGAACGCGCCTTGTTAGTCTTCCTCCGATGGCGCCGAGTCGCCGATCCAGAATGGGGGACAGCCAAACCATGGCCTCCAGTCCGCAATCCGCAAGAGCCATTGCTCCTGTGGTAATTATTAGTGAATTTAGCAGCGAAATGGAGCCTGCGACGGCGGCGTCGCAGTCATCAATGTGATGTCGTTGATGTCTCATCTTTCACAGCGCTCGATGTCAGCATGTCCGGCAGTCTCATGTCAGGCACCACCACATGCACAGATCGATATCGCTGCATCTTGCTCCCGCATTTTTGCTCCCGCAATGGATCAAACGGGTACCTGACCTCACCGCACTCTGTATCACATCAGCGACCAATATGCATGCCTCAAAACGAGATTGTCAATCTCAACTCAAGGCGTTGGTTCGTACCAACCGAAGAGAATGAAATCGCATGTTCTCTACTCTGCTAGATTCGCTTTGCATCGAATACCGGCCGAGCTGAACCGTTCTTATCTACAGGCGGAGACTTTGTCCGAGGCGTAAAGGAGACCAGGTTGGGTGTCTGTCGGGCATTACCGCTCCCTTTTGACTCTTCTCGATTTTTCTTCGTTACAGCAGCGTGACGCCCACCCCTGCGCTCAGTCGCTTCCAGTCTCAACTCGGTCGTAATGGTATTGGCTGCTTTTTGCGTGGACCAGTGGAGTTGGACATATGTTCATGCACGTGGTGCCCCAGATCATGAAGCCTTACATTTGATGAACTCACAAAGCCGTGCGTTCCGTGCCAGGTCGAATCGTCTGGGCTCTTGAGGCTTGTGATCTGTGTCGCGCGCGACCTGTCGTGATCGTGGTGGACTGGAGCCTGGAGGCTGACGACATCGCCTAGTTCGGCTGTCTTCAGTACAGTACAGGACGGATCTTGGCGGCAGACCAGCTGAAGGCGTCGCCGCCCACGAGGCTTTCTGCATGCTCTCTTCTTGGCATAGACAACTAAGCAGAGCGGTTGAAAGAAAGTAAGTCACTCAGTATTGGTATCAGCAGTTCGCCTGGGGCGATTTGGAACGAGCCATGGGGTCTGGTGACGACTCGGGAAGCAGAGGTGGCGGAGAGCGGGTCAAGTTGTCAACCCCTTTGCATCCTTCCCGACATGAGTATCCGATCATGAACTGAAGTTGACTGTTTGCTTTGGTAGGGGTTCTACCACGACTGTGCCGAGGGTCCTAGTCGGACAGTCGTGCTTAGGGCTATCAGCTATATTTGAGTGTCACGGAGACGTGGATCTTGTCAACCATTCCACGATGACTACAGGTCTCGATGACTCTCGCCACCTATGCCAGAATCAGTACTCTTCCAGAAACAGTTGCCGCTCGCGAATTCTTGAGGGTAGCAGAACAGGACCACATCAGAAACATGGATATTGCGAGCGTTTCCACTTCTCCAGCCGTCGATTGAGACGTTCTACGAGCGGCATTAGAGCTAAGAAACTACCTTCACCACAGCCTTCGGGAACGTACATTGTCAACGAGGCATGTCTCCAGCTCTCGTTGTACAGAGCTTTGGAACTGCAATGTAGTTTCCACAGCCACGGCCAAAGTTGATCAGCATCGCACCCGCTGCTTAACGAAAGACGCTCGAACCAGCTGGAGTAGGGTTCGCAACCAGTCTTCGGTAGCGTGAGGCTAATTGCTGAGCAACTTCCGACCTTGTCACAGCCGCAAAAGTACTAGTTCATGCCCCGAGGGTGTATACTGCGAATCCATATACAGATAGATATAAACTTGCAAGACATTCCGTCGACATGTCCAGGAGCACCGGAGCAAACAACACCTGAAGGCACTAAATATATACAAGTCACGCTCAAGTCACGCTCAAGTCACGCTCAAGTCACGCTCAAGTCACGCTCAAGTCACGCACAAGCCACAACAACCGGCCCAAGATGGGCTCCTTCAACTCCAAGCCAGAAACCTTCAGTCCACCAAACAAAATACCCAAGAAGCACGATAAGAAGCCGACACGTCGCCGTGAAAAAACGTCACAGTAACGACTCCTCGGGTAGAGGAGGCCATCCCAGTACAACCGCTGCTGGCGGAAATGGAGGCGGTTTCAATTGTAGCGGCGGTTACGGCGGATATGGACACGCGCAAAGCTATGATTTTGGCTGTAGCAATGCGGGCGGTAACGACGACCCATGGGTTTGAAAAAGTCATAGTGGAGGAGGAGGCGATTCTGGTGGTGGAAGTTGTCAACCATAAGGTACCTCGATATATTATCTCATACTTCTATCTGCTCGGGAAAAACAGAAAATCTGTTCATGCGGAAGCTCGAAGGATCTACGTTAAGGTTTGGTCACTTGGCTTCGGCCACTTGGACCCTTTATATAAGTCAGTTCGGACCAGATGAGTGCTCGATACTTACACCGACTTGCTAACCTTCTCCGCATCATATGTGATCAAATTCATCAAAAGTCGGTAATATACGACCAGATCTATCGAACCTTTGCAATGGGCTCCCAATAGGTTCCTGCCTTTCCAAGTCGATCGACATTAGAGTTGATGACCACGTCGTCACCGTACAGGCGAGGCGTCACCAACCGGACGTAAGCGAGAACGTGAAGATATACAATGAAGGCAACATATTGGGAACTTCAGCGCAAAACCCCCCTGTGGATGATGTTAACGAGAAAACCCAAAGAAAGCGAACGAAAACCAAACGGGAGGAATAAGGTACAGGACGTCGATAACGCCATGCATGAAGGAGAAGCTGTCGAAAGGCCAACATGCGAAGAGCTCAGGCAGGCCAGGATGGCAGCCTACGAGAGGGAACAATTTTCTGATAAATGCAACCGTCAAGCAGACGAGCAACTTCAGGACGAGAGGAGAGGGCGACGTTCCTGGCGTGATGATGAAGACGCAAGAGCACACAGCAACTTGAGGCCAGCTCGACCTCGCAACACATAAACCATTATGAGACTTTCGTGGAATTTGTCATGTGGTTGATCTTTTGTGGCCTATGGGGTGATGATTGGAACAACTGTCTCACCTGGTGAGACGTGCCAAACAAGCTTATTGCGCGTCCAACACTCTAGAAATGTTCTAGAAGGCAACAATCAACTATGTCTTTTCTACCTGCGAGTCGTCAGAGTCGTGCAACGCCGTCGGGACACGCGATCGGCACAGGATCCTCCCACATTCAGTCGCAGGATCAGGAGGACCCTTGCCAAGCCATGTGGCGATCATGAATTCATAATGGCAGTGCCGTCCTCTGCCATGAGCCGGGCGTACAAAACGTGCCTGTTGTGAGGTATGGTATGGCGCTGTTTCAAATTGGGTTGCTTTTGATCTTATTCGTCTGTCTCTGCGAGCGTGTTGGTTGCAGTACCGCCCGTACTGGAAGCTGATCGCCCCGTTCAGCAGCGCCGTGGTTGGGGGCGGTGACGTTGCTTCAGTCTGGGGAAGCCCTTTGCTTCATTGCCAGAAGGGTGACACTGTGATTGATATATATTTTCGATGGATGTCCAGAATCTAATCCTTGTGCATGATTCCGTTTGTCGTTTCTTCCCCATGACTCCAGTCTCTCTATCTGCACTCTAATCATCTCAGCGCCTCTTGGGTTCCATAACGTCAAAAGCAAGACCGTCAACAAGCTATCTATCCTACATTTACCTATAAAACAACACAGCACCCTACTAGGCGCCCCCTCCAATATGTGCATCTACTACTGCCTCAGCCACATGTGTGGCTCGCGCAGCAAAAAGTCCAAGCAGAAGCGCGAGATGGCCCAGATGCGCGCCAAACAACGGTACTACAACGCCCGCCCGGTATACGCCAGCGACTATTACCGCAAGCAACAATACCGCCACCACTACGGCAGCTCAAAGAAGCACAAAAAATACAAGGCGTACGGCGAGATGGGCAACTTTGCCGACGAGGACGTGAGCTGCTGGGCGTGTAGTGATGGAGGCGCGGGAGGGGACGGCGGAGGTGGAGGTGGTGACGGTGGAGGCGGCGGCGGCGGTGTTTAAGCTGTCGGCCATGGTCATGATATGTGTATGATAGCGTTTGGAATTGCATTGATTTGTTGTGTTACTTTACAAGTCTTCCTCCCACGAGCGCATGGCAATGTCGGCGACAGCTTCACCGCGTGAGATGGCGATCTCATGCCCGCCGGGCAGAACGTTAATTTCGACGCCGAATTCGCCCAAGATATGCCTCGAGTCTTGGATCCATTCATCCTTGACGACCACGGGATCGTTCTCCGCGAGGACGAGACAGACCCGTCCCAGCGGCAGACCTGGCGGTGGTTCGCGTGAGACTCGCCTCTCGGCAAGACGAGCGCTGAGGCGTCGCCAGAGGCCGTCGTGTTGCCCGTATATGGGTGCGTTTCGAATGGTGCTGATATAGGCGTCCACCAACCCAGGGTTGCTGACCAGCTGTCTGCGCATTGCGTCGCCCACTCGGAGAGAGGGCGTCTCCTTGGACAAGACGACCTGGTCAAAGTCGACAGAGACATCCGCGGTGTCGTCGACAGGTACATCAGCGCTGGGACCAGGGCTAGGCTGCAGACGCCGGCGGATCAACCACTTGACCCATCCTTCCGGCAAGACGCCCTTTGTGTATAATAATCGGCTGCGTAGGCTGATGTGTGATGGTCTGATCAGACCGCCAGGACAGACCAGCGTCACGGAGAGGAGGCGATGGGGGAAGTAGGCGGCAAAGGCAGCGGCAATGGCGCCGCCGAGGGAGTAGCCGAGGATGTGGAAAGAGTACCATGGTATTGGCGACGATGCCAACACGCATAAAATCTGAGATGTGTAGAGACGGATGTCAAAGGGAATGTCAGATGGTGTGTCTGAGTACCCTCTCCCAAAGAAATCTGAGATGATATCCAGGTCAGCTTCAGTTCCCATGTGTCACGGACGAAACGTACCGAACAGCATGACTCGGCAGCCACAGTCGACGAATCTGTTGGCCATATTGCCCAATGCCACACATGGTGTGCCAATGCCATGCATGAGAAGGACCTGCTCGCCGTTCTCAGGACCCCATTCATACACCTGTATGGTGCCGTACGGAGTATCGACCGACCTCCCACCCGGGAAAATGTCCTCAGGGTACGGGCCTTCCTCCTCCGCCCCCGCGTCTGTTGCCACTTCTAACGCCTTGCGATGCCTGCCACCATAGCGCTTTGCCGGTATTGATGATGGTAACGGCTGTGTGAAGGAGAGTGCAGGTCGGATAAAGAGATATGTCGACAGACAACCGACCGTCGCTGCCACCGCAGTCAACCCGTAGGGTCGTGTGAAGATGCGCTCTGTCCAGTCGCGGCCGAGGCCCAGGTCCAAAGACCGCAAACTGGCCAGATAATTTTCCATCTGCGAACCCAAGAGCGAAGATGAGTCGGGCATGAAAAGGATAGAGGCTTTCTTGAGGTTCGAATTCGACATGAGTGGCAGACCTCGGGCCCGGCCGGAAATGACAGGCCCGACCGACGTCTCCACCGTTCTCGCGTCTCCAGCTTTGTCTACGTACCGTACCACACGCAAGGATGTAAGTACTAATTAGTAATGATATATTTACTGTCCATTGTATAAGCGATGTCTTTCTCTTCCAGCTAGCAGGATCAAAACAGAGCAAGGAAGGGTCAATCATGTCAGACGCGAAGCCGCCATTCATTCCACAGCCGGACAACTTTCAGGTTTCTTTCAGCGCTTCTACTTGGCGCATGTTCCCCATCGGAGCATGCTCTTCGGTTCGTGTAGCTTCATCGTGTCGACTTTTGCGCTTGTTGTGATTGAAATCATGTTGTTGACACGAGGTCTGCCTGGTCGTGCACTGACTTGTCTTAGGCAAAATGTGGCTGATATTGACAGCTCACCTGACCTCCACGGACCCCGTGCGTCTCTGCGACCTTTGCCTCCCGGCAAAGGGCAGAGAGTCCTGCGTCGCTTAATCCCCCACCAAAGTGAACGCCCAGATGTTCAAACTGCTTCCAGCCGGGCACCCATATACTGCGCACCTATGCCCCGGATACCAACCCACTGCCGCTGGCTGGTCGCAGGTAGACGGCCGGATCACTTTGATTGGGCGTGCCCTACTTGTCCAATCCTCGAGCCTTGACAAACCTGTTGATCTGCTCCTTTGTCAATTTCTCATTGTACGCCTCCTGGCATTCGTAAAAAGAAATAATCTCCTGCGTGGCATCAACCATGGAGGGAATGTCCAGATTGCTGTCCGATAACCAGGCCGCGAACTGCTGGACCCGGCTGAGCCTATCACCCAGCTGGCCCTTGTTGGCGACGCCAGGCTGTAGCAGGCTCGGCGAGGGCAATGGAGAGGACCCGATGAGTGGGTTGCTGAAAGACGAGCCCAGCGGCGACGGCGAAGGCAGCCCTCGCGCCTGGCTCAGTGCGGCCTGTGCAGCTGCCAGACCAGCCGCCGCGCCAGAGCCAGACGCGCCAGGCCCTTGATTCGGCCTAAGAACCAGCGCCAACAATATCGCCGCCAAAGCAATGGTGTGCGGTGCGCATGTCACCGGCAGATCTGTTATGAAAGCGTCGTTGATGATGGACCTTGCCAGCTGCGAGTCCTCCTCCGTCATGTTGAGCTCGCCACGTAGCGCTTGCAACGTGCGGTACGGTTGATGGATCATGAGTTGGCTGCTCATCTCACTGATGAGCATGAACTCGCACTCGCCAAGCTTGCTGGCATCGAGGGAGATGAAGTCGCCCCATAGCGTGCGGGCTTCGGTGACGACAAGCCGGATATGCTGGGGTGCCTCCTCAATCTTGCAGGCTAGGTATACGCATGTGGTGACGACGAGGTATGGGTTCGTGCGGCGGATCTCGACGCGAGAGTAGAAGCGTTTAAGGTAGACCTGGGCCGTTGCCATGCATTGCTGTCGGATCTGGATCCGCTTGCTGAGACGGATCATGACTAGCAGGGTTAGCCGGCCGAGCGAGGCGTTCCTAGGGAGATGGGTAATACCTACGCTGGTTGAAGAAGATGGAAAGGTGCCGTATCTGTGGCAGTGGGAACATGCGCACAAGCTCCTGGTTATCGTCTTCCAGCTTCTGGCGTGCGGCCGCGAGTTCCTCCTTGGTAAAGGTCCAGTGACGGCGCTGCGTCGACTCCCAATAGTTGGCGGACATGCTGGATCAGGCCTGGCTGGGTATGTCGCGAACAGATCCTGCCCCTCGTTGCCGCTTCTGCGCTGGCGGTAGAGGGGCGCAAGTGGTGTGCTTGCTGAGGATCATGGGTTTGCTTTGGTGTGTTGAAGTAACTGCCTGGGCGCGGTTCGAGGTCTATTAATGATGCGACTGACAGATGCATGTGTGGCTGGCGAGACACCAAAAGGTGGCTCGTGGCAGGGTGGGGGCGTACTGACTTATTTCCGCCCTCTGATTGCTCGGGAACCGCTGGGCATGGCGCCCAGGTACCCTCCAGTGAGTCCAGTCGTTCTCAGGCCCTCGGCAGGCCAGCTGTGCCTCCAATAATCCGATCCAGCCCAGTTCTTTGCAGCCCACGTTACGACATCGCACAGGAAAAGCCAAGCACAGCACAGTGAAGGACCCGACCATCTCCCAACGGTGTCCGGACCATCGAACACCGCCAATACATTACTGAGCGGTCAATTGGCACTCTCGAATCGCCCTTCACCGACACCCTGCACGATCACGGGTATCATGTCTTCTAGATAACCAAGCGCCGCGCCAACGATTCCAAAGTGCCCATCATTCTCCCTTGCCAATCGACCGACCGACCTTGGATCGCGACTGCGCGGGCAACTCGTCGACGAGACATGCCGCCGCTATGAGCCCGTCCAAGCTGGTCGCCGAGGGGAGGGTCGGCCTGGGAGAGTCTGAGAACCAGCGCGATGCGCGCATTGAGCAGCTCTGGTTCAAGCTCGACCCCGGACGAACGGGCGAGCTGGACCTGAAAGGCCTTCAGCGGGCCTTTCGCAAAATCGACCACCGTAAGTAGCTGCGCAAATGATTGACGTGGCAATCGACTTATGAGGTGCAGCTATGAAGAATGCGGACGACATGCTCAAGAAGATTCTGAAAGAGGTGGATACCAACGGCGACGGCAAGATACAGTACGAAGGTAGGCTGGTCTCTCGCCCCGAGGATAGTCACAACATTGCTGACAAGGTAGAATTCCGAGTCTTTGTGCAACATGCCGAGCAGCAGCTCTCGCGACTCTTCTCCACCATTGATAGAAACGGTGACGGGAGGCTGGACGTCAAGGAGCTCCAGGCAGCCTTTCGCAGCGCCGGCTTGACCGTGGCCAATGCGAGGCTGACAGAGTTCTTCAATGACCTGGACATGAACAATGACGGCTTCGTCACCTTTTCTGAATGGCGGTATGTCTTGTCGCCTTTTTTCCCCCCCTTCTCTTTCTGCCTCGCTTCTGGGTCATGCGTGGGGCTGTCAAGAGACCGCACTTGTCAGACGTCAGATGGGCGGGTGTCATGCGGCCGCGCCCGCTGTCCCGGGACTCACATTCACCCACCGTACCAAAGGAGCATGCTCAAAGGGCAAAAAACCACCCGTGATAGTGGCACGCGGCTGACAAGATGGGCACAGGGACTTTCTCCTATTCATGCCAGCCAAGGACCATGCCTCGCAGCTTCGGGCCGTGCTGTCATACTACAATTCGGTGGTCAACGTCACTCCTGAGGGAGACACGCTCGTCGGCGAGGATACTTTGCAAGGCTTAGGTACGACAGGCTCTTCTCGCTCTCTCCTTAAGTCTCTCTTTGGTTCGCTCGTGAGAGTCGCCTTTCCTTTCGGTTCCACGACTGCCGACTCCAGCCAGTCAGAGACCGTCTCCTCTCCCCCTACCACCTCATTATTGTCTACGGATGGAGAAGCACAATCATCACACAAGTCAAAGTTGTCCTCGAAACGAAAAGAGCCTGTTGCTGGCGGCGGTCCACAGTCGCGAGCCACCGCCGTTGCTGTCACTGCCATCGACAACAACGCCCGCCGTAGCAGAGAGGGCAGCACTCTTGCGGTGGCTGATGCCGCGGATGTCGACGGCGATGGTGGTGCGGAGGAGGAGCACAGGGGCATCAACAAACGGTCATCTACCACCGCCTTGGATGTCAAGCCTCCCAAGAAATTTAGACTGACGGATTTCATTCCTGATCCAGGTTACTTCGTTGCCGGAGCCATCGCTGGAGGTGTTTCGCGTACAGCCACGGCGCCTCTTGATCGCCTCAAGGTGTACCTGCTCGTCAACACCAGTAGCGCTCCCGAGACAGCTGCGAAGGCCATTAAGTCTGGCCGCGTGCTCAGCGCTGCGCAACACGCTGCGCGCCCCTTCAAAGATGCTATCAAGGATATTTTTCGATCAGGCGGCCTGGCTGGTTTCTTTGCAGGCAATGGTTTGAATGTAGCCAAGATCATGCCCGAGACGGCCATTAAATTTGGTTCTTACGAGGCCGCAAAACGCGCACTCGCCAACTTTGAAGGGCATGGAGACATCAGGCAGATAAGCTCCGTCTCCAAATTCACAGCCGGTGGTGTGGCTGGTATGGTGGCACAGTAAGCTCGACTGTTAACGTTTTCGTATCGACAACGCTGACATTCTCCCAGATTCTGCGTCTACCCACTGGACACCCTGAAGTTCCGTCTGCAGTGCGAAACAGTGGAGGGTGGCCTCAAGGGCCGCGCCCTTGTCCGACAGACAGCCGCCAAAATGTGGGCAGATGGCGGCATGCGGTCCTGCTACCGTGGAGTGACCATGGGCCTGATAGGCATGTTCCCCTACAGCGCCATCGATATGGGCATGTTTGAGCTGCTCAAGAAGACGTACCGCACCTACTATGCGCGATACGCCGGCATCCACGAGGACGACGCCAACCCGGGCAACGTGGCGACGGGGATCATCGGCGCGTCGTCGGGCGCATTTGGCGCATCCGTAGTATATCCCTTGAACGTGGTGCGGACCCGACTCCAGACCCAGGGCACAGTCATGCACCGCGCAACGTACACCGGTATCTGGGACGTCACCCAGAAGACGATTCAGCGTGAGGGCTACCGCGGGCTGTACAAGGGGCTCACGCCCAATATTCTAAAAGTGGCGCCCGCGTTGAGCATAACGTGGGTTGTGTATGAGAACTCGAAGAAGATGCTGGGGCTACACTAAGAGCATGGCGAAGATGCCAAGAACGTAGAGGAGGATATACCAGGAACGTACTGCGCGGTCATCTGAAGAGGACGATTTCCCCATCCAGACCATTGCCTTTGTCTTTGTCTCTTGTTTTTGTCTCTTGTCTTTTTATTATTGTTTCTTTTTACCGTCATCGTGGTATGCTCCGCGAGCGAGGCTCCGGGTATAGGAGCAAACAAGCATAGCAGGGAGGAAACAGCGTTTTTGTTCTCAATCAACACTGGTTCACAAAGTTCGTGGTCTGTCTGAGTCTGTCTTGTGTTTGAACTTTGAACGTCCTTCTGGCGACAATGGTATGCTGCGCAGGCAGTTACGGGGGCCCAGCCGAGAGGTTGGCCGATTACGACTGCAAGGATGTCTGCACGGTTAAGGCACAGTTCTACTTGTAGTGGTTTGTTGCAAGTTGGTGTGCTGACTTGTTTGCGCACGCTAGCCAGGCAGCATTCTGGTGCAGCACTGGTCATCAAGGCCGACCTTGATCTGGCAACGGCCGCATTCATGTCACATACCTTCACACCACAGCTCAATCATCGATCGGTCCTCTGCGCCACGTTGAATATGTCAGCAAGCGTGTCAGGGCGATCCACCAAGGATGGCTTGGCCTCGTTGCTCATAACGAGCCGATATCCGAACTTGAAGGCTGGGCTGGTTACCAGGGGTATTTACTAACCTACAACTCCCTGTTCCACTGCACGGACTTCCCTCTCTTCTCCCCAGCATTCCAGACCACATTCATCGACGTATCGGCTCCTGAAAAAAAGCCGATCCGCCCGCAAGTACAGTCAACATGTCTGTTAATGAGAAGCAGCCTGCCTCGTCTGACAGCGCATTTTACTCGGCGAGGGATGAGGATGAGTACCAGCATGAACGACGTGACAATCGTCCCAAGTGGGGGGGGATTCTGCCTCGTCGGTGAATTCGTCATGACAATGTTGCTATTCGCGGCCTGTGGGCGTTGGCTGTCCATCAATGGCTTCCGATTCGGGCATCTGGACATCTCCGATATTGTTCACCAAGAGATGCGCCCAGCAACACCTACGACGACATCGTGCGGCTGCCAAACTACTGTCGCAACACGCCGCAGCGGCTCTCAAGGACCTCAGAGGCATTATCCTTGATTTCTGGCCAGATTTCACCATCGTCCAGAGGATTGAAATGCCAAACCCGGATGACGAGGATGTGCGACCGCTGGGCGTATCTGGGGGCGTCATCTTCCGCCAAAATGATGGTCGCCGACCGCGGACAAGATGGATATTGAGACCATTCTCAAAGATGAGAGCATCCAATTCAAGTCAGAATGGGATGCGGCTGCGCAACGCCTCAAGTTGACCATGCCCCACGGCGTCAAGGGGTGGAGGCACAATCTATGGCCTTGCATGGACGTTCGTATCACGGTCTGGGTGGCACCGGGATCGACAGTAGCGCAACTCACAGCTGACACCCTACACCTAAGCATAGACATCCTCGAAGATCTGGACTTACAGGTGGAGGACAAGACGATCCCGAAGAGCGTTGTTCGCAACGTAACCGTCCCTGAGAAGAAAGGCAGCAGAAAGACGCCGCATGGCCGGGTTTCGAGGGAAATCGAAATCGAGACAACAAGTGGGCAAGTCAAAGGGTGGTATCCTCTGTACGATCTTCTCAAAATACATACCGTTTCGGGCGTATCATAACCAATGTCGACAGAATGACGCCTGGGTCTATCGTCTTTCTAGTTTGACTCGGTCATTGTCCTCATTGTATTGTACTTATACTAGTCAAATATCCACATCGAAGTCTGCTCCGACATATTGCAAATAGCCGTCATCATCATCAATCAACCAAGGGGGTATCCATCATCCACATATATCCAACCAAACGCCAGAAAACGCAATCCCAATCCTCTCTGCATCCTGTCACCAGGGAAGATCCCGATTCGCGACCGCCGTGCAGGTCAGGTAGCTTATGCCTTCCACCACGCGGCCTGATCCGCCGAGATCCAGCTCCAGACTGCTGCCCATGAGGGGCCGTACAATGTCCCGCGCCATGGCCTTGAGCTCGTCCATGCGCTTCTCGAAGCGCCGCAGGTTCTCGCGCGAGTACATGTCGGGCGTGAGCTTGAGGAAGCGCTTGCACTCGTCGTGTCCCAAATACGAGGCTGGGTTGGGGGCACCCAGGGTGCGGTATGCCCGACCGAGACTTGTCAGCGGTGGAACAGCCGGCGGCAGCGCTTGCCTTGGCATGTCGCGCGAGCGTCGATCCGTCGAGGACAGAGGTGCTGGCTGAGGCGAGGTGTTGTCCGCGATCCACTGTCGGAAGAGGCTGACGGCCAGCCAGTCGAGGTAGTTCGTGTTGGGGCCCACGCGCTCTCCCCGACTGTTCGTCAGGTTCAGCCTGAAGAGGCGCCCCTCGACCCGACTCACGCTCTCCTCCAGCTCATCGACCTTATCTTCGATGATGTCCAGGACGATGTCGGGCAGCGCGGCGCGCAAACTGCGCTCGCCAGAGGGCCACTGCCCCACCACATGGACCAGAGCTTCCTGGAAGATGATCTTGCTGCGCGCCAAGTACCCCAGCCGTAGATAGGATATCGGGTACTTGGCGATCTGTTTCCAGAGCCTCGACTGGAATTGCAAGAGGTGGTGGTCCACCCGCGGCCCGACCACCGCCAGCGCGTCGTACTGATCCGCCAGGTTCAGGAGGCTCTTACACTGCACGTAGGCATCCGCGACGTTCACGCCATCCAGCACGGGAGGGTAGTTGTACATGGTGCGAAACAGGTTGTCGTAGTCGCGCAGGAGGTCCTGGTCCGCCTTGGAGATGTGGTGTGCTTGTTGCTGGTGATGCAGATTCGACACCGACCGGAAGAAGTCGCGGCTCGAGGATGTCGAGTGTGAGCTCTTGTGTCGTCCTCTCGATCCGTCGCCCGGTCCGAATATTGATTTCGATGGCACAGGTCGCGATTCATCCTTTTGCATGAGCATGGGGATATCGCCGCCCCCCGTGCCCGGGTCAAGTTCGTATCTCCATCTCTTCCGCGGTAGATCGCTGTCGAGGTCTCCGTCTACCGCTGATGCCGCTGGTGTCGGCAGGCTCCCATCTGATGCTAGTCGCGCGACTTCGTTACCGCCGGCCAGGAGCTTCGCCTTTGACCACTGCTCACTCGTGCTCGCTTCGAAAAATCCGCTGCATCGGGTGAGGGTATGTCTGTGCAGCAGGTATCTCGCCTCGCCGCCTGAAGGTGTGTGGATGTTGATGTCGACGTCGCCCGAGTGCGAGAAAATGGGAAACTCGTTCTGTTGTGTGTAGGAGGTGTTGCTCGTCGTGCCGCCGACGTGGGATCTGTTGTAGCGCTTGGATCTGGAGAGCGTGCTCGATGTCGCGATGCGGTCCCGATGGTCGCGTGCCGGGCGCAGGGAGAGGGCGCTCTGAGCTGCGAGGGAAGTCTCAGGCTGGGAGACCATGCCGGGCTATGGCCAGTGAGAGGGCATTTATTTGTCTCTTTGCTTGTTTGCGAGTCGAGCCTGTGGCCTTGGGAGGTCTTCGAGGTGCGCGTGAAGTTGGCCGCCAATGTGTGGTGGGGAAGTTCGAGTCAATCAAGGTCTCGGTGGCGCGCAGGGGCTCACGAAATTATTGATCGTGTGTCGAAGCCAGTCTTGGTAGGGAGCTTATTAGAGGAGAGTGAACGACACCAGATAGAAGGCGAAAGATGGGAGCCGTGAGGGTTGATCACGGGCAAAGAAAGACGCGCCTGTGCAGCGTGGGTGCGTGTGGTGTCACGAGATCTCGAGCTTCTGAGATCTTTGCTTCAGATATCCTGGCGAGCGCACAACCGATTGGGATCAGCCTAACTCAGCAGTGCTGTCAGTCCCTGAGAAATATGCCTTGCGCTGGAGCATTAGCAGCCAGTGAGCCACCCATTATATCCCCGGCTCGTGGCGATATGCACGACGTGCTTTAGCAGATGCGGACTGGCAGATGACCCCAGCCAGTGGTTCGTCATATGTCGGCCGCCGCCAGTCGCAGATTTTGATCGTTGGCCAGAGGTGATGCGACGCAAACAGAGAGCTGGTATTCTTAGACTTGTGTCTCCAGACTAATTATGATTTACGTGAAGGAAAGCAGAGAGGGCCTGGCTGTACCTGGAGGTAATAAGGCAGCTGAGATTTATTAGGCTGGGCCATCTGGCATACACTCCCTGTACAATGCACACGGACTTCGGCAAGTAGAGCGTCCAGACACCGACTGGACAGCTCTCATTTCTACCTACCTGGTAATTATCTTCCTCACCTAATTACGTGAGCTTTCCCAGCCTCGAATTTCCACCAGGTACCAAACATCAACTCGAGACCTACCCAACCACCCAATGTCTCTTCTCGCAGCGCGCTGGTAGCGCCGCCTAACATGGAGCAATGGGATCGCGCTCCATAAGCAGCTTCGTCAATGGCGTCACCAGGCCCGTCTCGGCACTCGAATTCAAGGACGCCCTCGACGCAGCATGTCGTCCCCAATTCCCGACAGCTACGTGGTACCGCGACCGGCCCTTGGCCCTCGCCGTCAGCGGAGGCCTCGACTCCATGGCCTTAACCCACCTCGCGGTCGAGTTGTCGAGGTCGATTCCACAGTTTCGCGTGGCCGGCTACCCGGTCACCTCTGTGTTGGGGTTGATCATAGACCATGGGTTGCGCGAGGGGAGCGCTGAGGAGGCAATGAAGGTGGCGGCTGCGATCCGCGATATTGGCGCCGCGCCGTCCATCAAAACGTTGAAATGGGGCCAGCTGGTCAAGCATGGAATAGTGCCGGCGGATTTGTCGAATGTCGAGAGCATGGCTCGGAAACTTCGATACTGGTATCTGGGCAAGAGTTTACGGAATTTGGGGGCGCCCGTGCTCCTGCTTGGTCATCATGAGGACGATCAGCACGAGACGGTTCTCATGCGTCTGCTGGGGGGGCACTCATACCGAGGCCTGCGTGGAATGCAGCCGGTGAACGACATGCCCGAGACACAGGGACTCTATGGTGTTCACAAGAGCGGCTTGATTGCGGACCAGCAGTCGACGAGGCCATCTGTGCGGTTCAGGCCAACCCAGAGGGAGCAGAAGCGCCTAAGAAACATCTTTCGCGAAGAACACCGACAAGTGCCAGTGGACACATCAACAAGACAGCCTGTTGGCACATCGGCCTTCCACGACAACGTCTACCTGGGTGACGACCCGCGAGTACCGTACCTGAGGCCTGTAAACACGGAAGGCGGCGGTATTTGCGTTGTACGTCCACTACTGGGCTTCAGCAAGGACCGATTGAGAGCTACTCTCGAGGCCCGCGGTCTCTCTTGGTTTGAGGATCACACCAACGCTGATCAGACGTTGACCATGCGGAACGCAGTCCGCCACATAGTTAGGGACCATACACTGCCAAAGGCCTTACAAAAGGAATCGATCCTTGCCCTAAGCCAGAAAGCGAGAAAAAGGGTCGAGCACGAAGAAGCCGAGGCCCGTCGGTTGCTCACCCGCGAGGGCGTTGCCAAAAACTTCGATCCCTGTGCTGGCACGCTGATCATCGACTTGCCATCCATGCGCACCAAGAGGCGGAAAAGGCGTGACCGTCTGGCTGGGGCCAGAGCCGAGGCTCGTAAGCCACGACAAAAGCTCATCGCTGCTCTGGCCTTGCGTCAGCTTATCGATTTTGTGACACCGGAGACCAACCTTCCTCCACCCTCGGCCATGGGCAATGTTGTCATGCGTCTATTCCCGGAGCTACGGCCGAGCTCTGACCCGGCACCGCCGCGGCCAACAGCATTCGGCATCGCAGGCGTCCTCTTTGAACCCATCGTTCGGCCTGACTCCGTGCGCTGGTTCCTCTCCCGAGCCCCGTACACCTCGAAGCAGAACCTGCCCAACTTCTTCCATGACTGGCGCATTGCCGGCGAAGCGCCCCCGACGCCTGACCAGAAGGCAGCCTGTCCGCCCGCACCGCCGAGCCCACCCCGCGGTTGGCACAGCATGAAGATGCGGAGGTTATGGGACGGGCGCTTCTGGTTCTCGATCGACTCCACGGTCAGGGAGCGGTTCCACGTTCGACCCTACGACACGACCCACGCGCGAGCCTTCAAGCGCCGTCTCCTCCCGCATCAGCTCGCCCGCATGGAAGAACTACTCAAACACTACGCACCAGGAAAAGTGCGCACGACTCTCCCCGCTCTGTATCTTGCCGACCACGACGCGCCCATGACGCTCGAGGGCGTTGGGAACTTGACCCTCATCAGTCTGCCAACGCTACGGATCCAGCTGCCAGGCACGGAGGAGTGGATCAGGTGCAATTGCACGTATAAAAAGGTAGACACGGGTCTTTTGAGGCATCCTAAGCGGGCCACGTCAGGTCAGCATGAGGATGCATGGAACTACCACATGATGAGCACGTCGAGACGGATCAGAGTCCGACGGCTGAGCAAACGTAACAAGAACTCAAGGAGACTGTAGGCAATAAGTGGAAATACCCCTGTCGAGTATGTCGACTATGTTACATTCAACAATACACTGTCTTATGCATGCTTCCACGAATGCATGCATCGTCAGGGGTGACCAGGGCCAAGCTGTACAAGTCTTGAGGCCGCACTTCCCCATCCATTCATTGCTACCTCACGCAAGCAGTGTATGACTATGATTCTAGCCAGGAGTACAATGTCTTTTGGGAAAAAGAAGACGAGAATTTTAGGGTCCCTGGCCCATACGGCTCTGACCTCAAGTAAACAGAAAGGTCAGGCAGGTCACGTGCCCCCCCTGAGCTGCACATGCAGCTATTCAAAGACATGATACTCTTTCTCACAACCAACACTTAACTGGCTCAAACTAGTCGAACGACGACTTTTGACTGAGAAAACTTGACATGCTGACCGTGCAGCTTGTATCGCAAACCTACATACAGACCTCAGATGCCAAGGCCACACAACATGATGCGTTCTGAGGTCCAAGACTCCAAGGCGAACGAACGGTGCAACCCCCATAATGCTGTGGAAAGTTTTGCGAACAACTGTCATGTGTCATCTAGGGAGAGAAGTCTTGAAGCGGCAGTTGTCCACGGCACGAAGGAACCAATGCGGCGTGATCAAACCAGAGCCTTGCGATCTGTCAGCTGCATATGCCAAGTACTCGGGAATCTATGCGTCGGCCGCTTCCCATTGGTGTCGCCAACCCCCCTCCCCCCCAGCGCACCCACTGGTCAGCACCATTCTATTGACTGCCAGATCTGGTCAAGATGTTGCGATATATCTGCCGCTCATAAGAGCTGGAGACAGGGGGAATGAGAAGCGTAAGATCGCCAGAACGACTCCTCGCATCCGCCTCGGGTGGATCTCGGCTTCACGAGACGACGAGTTCACGATTCAAAGGCCTTCAAAGGTCGCACATGCAGATGCACAGAGGAAGCAGTGCTTGCACAAGTCTGACAGTATCGGCAGTGGACTGGGAGCGTGGAGATGAAGCTGAAGCATTTAAAGCTCGTCCTCTGCAGCGACCGTTTACTCGGAATATCGGCAAACGAAGTATCATCTTCCCCTGAATCCTCGTCACTGCACCAAAACTACACAATCATTGTGCCGAACTGTATACGACCACGCTATCCTGTACGGCAACCCACTACGCTTGATGAACGTTGATTCTTGTTTCATCTTTGCATCTTGCACGAAGTCTGCAGTCCCTCTTTTATCTCGCTTCTTCTGGTTCCAGAAGTCCTTTGTCAAAATGGCACAGCCATCTTTCCAGCAGGTCTGCAAGGCCTTTATGAACATTCCAGAGTTTCCAAGCGGCTTCTACATGGAGCGCCTCGACAACAAGATTCGATCTCTGCCCGCCATCAACAGCGTCTTCAATGTCACCGGATTCTCCTAGGAGGACCCCGATACGGACTGGAAGAACTCCAAGATCGACGGAGTGGATTCGATAGCCCCGCTAAAGTCTTTGGGTTTCTATACGGTGGCTTCTGCCCTTGATGATATCGACAGCAGCAAGGACGCAGCGAATTTTCGGGGCTATGTAAAGAACGTATTTGCCCCTTTTCTTTTTCTTTGGTCCACCTTGCTCCAAATCAAAGAGTCTGACTGTGCTATCACTAGAATGTCGCCGACGACGAAGCGCGTGCAGTCATGGCCAGGATCACGGCCCTCTTCTCCGCACAGCACATCAGCAAAGAGCTCACAAAGAGCGGCCTCCCGCAACTCAAAGACTTCTCCATTGGCGATCAGTACGCTAGCCGTCAAGTACTCATCGTCTGGGCTTCGCACTTGCTCAACACGCCGGGCGTCACTCTCGAGATGGCCTTCTCGGATGCCACTCGCATCGTGTCAGCCGTCGTTGCGCCGGTCAGCACCGAGGGCAAAGCCGTACTGCCGTCAGCTGAACTTCTCAAGCCGGTCGTCCAGAGGCTCGCGATGACCGATGCCCGATGCCCTGCCTCTCGCCAAGGCGCACCGCCAGAATATAGAGAGGAGCTTGGTTTTGGACGTGTCCTTGCCGCTGGCGAACTTGAACGCAACCCAGGATGACTTCAAGGAGACAGGCCTATCGACTTTCGACTCGGCCGCCAGCCTGAATATGGATATCTGGGAAACGACCGTGCGGGGAAAGTGGACTGGTCCTGTCACATCCGAGGCTACGCACCAGACGTCTTCGCAGCATACAAAGACACAGAAGCCGAGTCTGGCAATGTCCGCCACACCAGGTTTCTCAGACGCCTTTTTGCCCAAGGTAATCTCCCCTGGCTTGCCGCTGTATCTGTGTTGTTTAGACCGACGTGACCGTCACAGCTATTGAGGTCGAGCGGACATGAAAGGCGTTGGCGCAGATGCGCAAGCGAAGAGTCCAAGTAGTAGTCACTAAAGAAAAATATCAGTATGCGGATAAGAAGAGCAACGCGAGCGTAGGTGGAAGTATGTGACAAAAGCGCATCTCTTTCCGAGCAGAGACAGTTCCAGCATTAAAAAGTAGAGTATAGCATTCTAACTACATCTCTAAACAGTCTTGTACAGTACAGGGCGAAGGAAAACTTTTCATCCATCTGCCAACGATCACTCAATGTAAGGTCCGAGACACATTCCTCGATCAGAACGAGGGCGCGTTGAGGGCCATGAGAAGGAGGAGACCCGAGATGAGGCCGGCCGAGGGCAGGGTGAGGACCCAGCCGCAGAAGATGAATCCAAGCTGCTTCCAGTTGATGGCGCTAAAGTCGAGGTTCATGAGCGCCACGCCAATGACGGCGCCCGTGACACACTGGGTCGTTGACACGGGCAGGCCCAGGCTCGAGGCGAGCAGGACGGTGATGGCGGCGCCGAGCTCGGCCGCGAAGCCACGGGTGGGGCTCATCTGCGTAATCTTGTTGCCGAGCGAGCGGATAATGTGGAAGCCGAAGAACCAGAAGCCGGCGCCCAGCAGGAAACCGGCGACGACGATGATCCAGATGGGCGTGTCAGCCTCCTCCTCCACACGCTCCGTCTTCCACGTGTTGTACGCGCCAACCCAGGGGCCCAGGGCGTTGGCGACATCGTTCGAGCCGTGCGCAATCGACATGATAATGGCGCTGACCACTTGGGCGTACCTCCAGAGGAACTCGACGCGGTTGTCGTAGCGCTTGGCCCGGGAGTGGACGTTGGCCAGCTGGACATTGGCGTGCGAGACGCAGTCGCGGGAGACACCCTGCAGGAAGAAGTACTTGACCATGTAGCCCAGGCGGGTGGGGTTGTAGATGGGCAGGTGCTGGTACGGCTTCAACCAGCGATCCTCAGGCTCTGGGATCTTGGGCTCCTTGCTTGACACTACCGAGGTGGGCGCGCCGCCGGCTTCTGCGTCGTTGATGGTCTTGGACTGCGTGCCAGGGACAGCATCCTCGCTGCCGGTGCCCTGGAGGCCGGTCGCATCGTTGTCGGCGGGTGCCTCCTTGCGGACGCCCTGGTCGCTGTCATTGTCCGTGTGTGTCATGTGGGTGGACGCGTAGTAGTCCTTGAGGGGTTTGTTGTCCTTGCCTGGCCAGAACAGGGGAGGGTTGTCGCGGAGGAGCAGGGGGCCGAGGATGACGTGGTAGATTCGAAGACGATGATCGTGACGCTCGATGCGGGCCTTGAAAAAGGGCACAAAGAAGATGAAGGAGATAGCCAGGACGCCAAAGAAAACGCCCAAGACAATGCCCACGACGACACCCGGGGCGAGCGCACCCTCTCCCTCGATACCGGGGCTGATGGGGATCTCCATGATGAAGAAGAGGGCCAGGACGCCGGCAGTGAAGGCAAAGTAGAAGGGGATCGCGCGCATCGCCTTCTTGAAGGAGTCCTCCCGTTCGAGAATGGTGAACTTCATGGTGGAGAAGAGAATGGCGGAGAAGCAGGCGGCCAAGCAGGGGGCGATGCCCCAGGAGGCGGCGACCTGGCTGACACTGCCCTTGGTCCACTCCCAGTTGACTGATGCCTGCGAGGCGATGCCAGCACCGACCAGGGCGCCGACGATCGTCTGGGTCGTGGACACGGGAAAGCCCAGCCTGGTCGCGGTGAGGAGCCAGGTGGCGCTGCCCACCTCGGCGCAGCCCATGGCGAGGACGAGGACCGCGGGGTCGGCCCTGAAGTGTTCAATGTCGATGATGCCGCTCTTGATGGTGTCGGTCACACGCGAACCGAGGGCGACGGCGCCGATGAACTCGGTGAACATGGCCAGGACGCCAACCTGGGCGAGCGTCAGGGTCTGGGCGGCGACCGAGGTCGCGTAAGCGTTGGCAACATCGTTGGCGCCATTACCAAAGGCACTTGCGCAGAGCGCGATGGAGATGAGGCCGATAATCCAGGTGACACCGTCAAGCATCTTGTCGTCGTGGTAGATTCGGTGCGCCCGAATCTTTGCGAAGAACAGATGTGTGTTATCACCGCGGTGAGTGCTGTGTGAGCAAGAGAGGAACGCCTCGGAACAAAGACGAGGAGCAAGGCAACCGTCTGGTTTATAAAACGTTGGCTCCCTCCCAAGACGGGCCTCATGTTGGGTTTATCTTGCACATGCTGGAGGCAGTAGTTGCTCTCCAGCCTCGCCACATGCGTGTGGCATCAAAGATTTACTTTGATGGCTTCGTGGGATGGCAGCACGTGGTCCAACGATGGACTGGGAGAGGAAGGCCGGGGATTGTCGACTGCTTGGCTCTTCTCGCCAAGTCACTAGGATGACGTGAGAGGACATCGGTCCCACCGACTCCCACGGGCGGAAGCATGCATGGATCACTCGCGCGAGCACGTGAATGGTAGAGGAGAGGTGATGCTCCATGCCGGGACTCAAGTCGTTCGTCACGGCGTCCTGTGCAATGTGAGCCTAAGTCGAAGTGTGTGGAGTGGCTGGTTAACCTTGAATCTAAGCTTGGCGATTCCGGGAGCGTCTGTCAGACTAATGAGCGACGAGTCTGCTCCCACGTGCTTGCGACGAAGCACCAATCGTCCGCTTGGGCTCAGGTCGAAGCGGCAAGGATGGGCGGGTACACGGTGATGGTGGGGAGGGTCGGTCGATCTGAGAGCTTGTGCGCGGCTGCGCATTGGCATTGGGCTGAATGATTGCATTATCGTTCTTCTACTCCGTACGTACGTTGAATATTCAAGGACCGTGGGGGTTTGTGCTCTGGCACCCATCATACCCAGTTTCGAGGCGCAAAATGTGATTTTGCCGAGGATTCTAGAAGGTAAAAAGACGCCACACGCGTGACGCCAGAGTGGGAAAGAACTCGCTCGACGTTGCACGTGCGCTGAGCGCGTCCTCTCGCTGGAGCCTGGAGCCCGGAGCCCAGCACTCCGGGGGCAGGACAACATCACATACCTTACTCGGTACGCGCAGTACGTATTTCCAACCCTTTCTTTCATCAGGTTCTTCTCCCTTTGATTTCCCATTTCGGTTGGCTTACTCGCTCTCTGTACCATTTATTTCAATCTCTAGGAGCGGCACCATCAATTTATTATGCTCGCGCTTCTTGCGTCTTCTCACAGGAACATTCCAGAAGCTGGCGTGGGAGGGGGGAGCCCGGGTGATCCTCGTCTCTCAGCCAGCCAACTGTAGTGGATGCAGCAAGCGCAAATCTTCTTCTACAAGTATTTTAAAATCAGTGTTTTAGCACATGCGACTACCCGTATCTAGCAGAAGAGACGGGATCCTATCTTGATCTTTAGTGTTCCCCAAGTTCTCAACAACTCCTGATTCACCTACCCGGTAGCTAGCTTAGACCCGAACGTCACACAGGGTCATAGTGGCTAGAGGTCTTGTGTCCAGGGATTTGTACGCAGACGGTCATCGAATAATCCTGTATCATTTGCCGTCATCCGAGAAGGAAAGTTGGGGCACTTACCGTGGGCTTAGCTAAACTCACGTCGTGAAACCTGGCTGAATGTGGGACAGGATTACGCATTTGCACCAGAATCTCCAAAGGGCGCAAAGTTGTGAAGCTATCTACACGATCCGAGTCATTCCATGGACATAACGCATGGCACATATGCATACTCTGATGAGCCTCTCTGCACCATTCTGATATTGATGCCAAAGGAAGTGTACTACGCTCAAAGGAGCAACTCGAGATCATACAATGTGTGTACAACCCACGGGTCTTCTGGACGGTTTATTTGAAGCTTTGTAATCGAGGTCTCAGAACACCTTTACTCGTAGATGTAGCAGTAGGGAGTCCCCCCCAAGGTGTTGAAGGTGTCCGTGATCTTCAAGTGCGGGCCGAGAATACCGACATCAAGCTCATCCTCGACAGTGCCGTTGCGGCTGGGGATAATGTTCATGTACGTCAGCGTTCCGGCGACGGTGTTGGCCTCCTTGGGGTGAAGGGCTTGCCACATCCAGTACAGCTTGTCGACCATGGCGTGGTGCAGGTAAAAGGCCGGGTCATTAAGTGAGGTGAAGACGTCGGACCCATCACCGCCCATGGCGTAGTGGCCGGCGCCGTGCTGGCTCAGCGTACCGGCTTCCTGGAACTTGTTCTGCATGAGCTCAATGGTGTGCGAGTGATCGCCGGCAAGAAGATCGAAGAGACCGTCGAACGTGTAGCGTTCCGAGGCAGCATGGACGAGATCGCGGCGCTGGCAGCGAGGGTTATAGTCTCGCTGGTCTTTCATCCAGGGCTCGTAGCCGTTCATCGCAGGGCGGATAGGGCCGATGTTGATCGTGTAGCTGTTGTGAAGGTTAGCCACCACGAATTTCCAAGCGAACGAGTTTGCTCACCCGACAAATGGACCATCTTTGATGCAGCCGCCACCCTCTCCAGGGGGCAGGTGCACCGTCCTGCTGCCGACGAGACTCCCATTGTGAGGGAAGTATTCGCCCGTGCTACCAAAGCTGGTGTCGCTGCCATCGAACACGGGAGAAAGGTGAAGGGCGGATTGGTATTTGTACCTGTGCATCATGAGCTTCCTCGCTTGTCACGAGAGTGGGACATAGCGAGGGCAACGAACCAGTTCCAGTACGGGAGAGCGCCCTTGTATCCGCACTGATCGCGAAGAGTATCTTCCCAAAGGGCAATCAAGTATCGATGCCACGTGAAGAAATTGGCAGTACCGTGGACAAAGTCCGTCACGTTGGCGTGAATGGCCACGAATTCATCGAAATAGTTTTGTGCGGCGGAGAACTCGGTGTCGACGGCTGGGAGGTCCCAAAGACACTTGACGGCCTTGATGTACTCCTTGCGCTCGCACTTACCCATGTGCTCCCTAGTGACCAAACATGATTAGCCATTGAGAGAAAGAAAGGAAAGGAGAAAACAGACATACCAGTCACGTCGAACGCGGGCGTTTTCAAGAGTGCATGTACCCTGTTCACCGCGGCGCTGGAGATCGGCCTGCTGAGATTCCAAAGCCTGCATAGCCAGGTCCCGGAAGTCGTCGACGCTCTTCGCGCTCTGCATCTCTTCAGTCGTCGGTGCCCGCGGCGCAAGGTTGGGCGCGGCCAGAGCAAGACCAGAGACCAGCGCCAGTGCGCCGGTCACTCCGGAAACAAAGCGCATGGCTCACGGGTAAGGAGGGTGAAGCAAAGGGATGTTGTCGCAAACGGCAGCAGAAGACCAGAAGTGGAAAGACAATCTCGAAGCCGCACACAAAAGAACGAGCGAGCCTGGCTGCCACGTGGTAGGGGGACTGTCGGAGACCGATACTTATACCATCGGCAGAATTGACCAGCTCAAAAGAGACCTTCTCGAGACCTTCTAGTCTAGAGACCCGTCGGAAGATAGCCCAGGACTATGGCCAATGCACCGCAAGGCGTGGCAAGCAATGATTCTCGGTAGGTCAGACAGAACTCGCAAGAATGGCGTAGTCGGCTAACCACTTCGCCCTTGGTTGGAACATGAATTTACCAACGTGCAGCTTGTCGAAGACTACAAGGGATAGCATACGTACGAGAGCGAGGAGCGGGCGAGGGAGGGCAAGGATCCAGGGGTCGTGGCAAATCTGCCTGGAAGTTGGAGAGGGGAGATGCAGTCTGCAGGCATCTATGATAAACTCTCCGTTCTACTCTCCCCCACATCTTTGCCTATTGCTTGATGCAGCTCCTGGGTCTGCCGTGCCGTGCGCGTTGTGGCAATTTGAAAAGAATTGGATCCTGCAGGAGTGCAGACAAATCAGCCTGCCCTGAGCTTGGCCAACAGGAGGATGCTTCGAAACACAGACGAGATGCTACTCACATGGGCATGTACATGTACGACAGAGGCTATCGCGTGGGCATCAGATTCATGTTTCCTTGGCTATATGCATGTGCGAGACTGCTAGATGGTGGGAAATGCTCAAGACCAAAGAGCGAAAGTCAAGCTCCTTTGATACCACTTTGCCTCCGGCCTGCCGGGATGCGTCTGATACTCTGATTACTGCAAGGAACGGACCAACAGCCATTTGCTTGATGCGAACAAACGTCCGTGGAAGATCACCAATCACGATTTAGCCTTGTCCTGCATTGCACCGGCTAAAGGCAGGCCCCTCTTGGCTGTACATGCAGGGACATGGGACGGGTGTGTTCTATGACTTCTCCTCAGGGAACCTTAGCATGTTGTCCTCGAGGAGGGATGCCAAACGACACGGCCGGCGTCTCTTGCCCTCCGCCAAGCTGTGCCGTGTCATGGTCGGGCCCCGGGGACTTGGAGGAATTCCCGCGGGAAATCAAAACTGGGTTTCCATCGACCGGAGGACCGGGGGACAGGGGGGGCTGGGGCCCCGGGGGCAGGGTGCAGGCAGCGGCACCTCAGAGCCTTGTCATC